TTGAGACAGATAAAGTTAAAAGACTGACTCTATTTTAAAAGAGGTTGTTGTTCATTTGCGAATTTACAAATTGTTTATTAAATTTCAACATTTGTAATATTTATTAAACTTGTTAAAATATAGAATAATTAATGATCGAATAAATCATATAATTGGATTTTATAAATCTTAATTTGTTTTGTTGTTTTAGTTATAATTGCTATTTTGTATCACCATACCATAAAATATTTATAATCATTTATATTTTTAAAAATTGTTTTCGAAAAATAAAATAATTAAACTTCAAGTTGATTTTTATTTCCATTTGCTCGGTTTTTGATTATTTATATGACAATGTTTTCACAGAAAAACTATTTAAAAATATTTTAAAGTTTTTCTTTTCAGCATTTTTTATTATAACTATTGTATGAATTTTTCTTCAAAATGACTATTATTTATAGTAAACGATGTGTCGTTTTTGTGTTCATTATCGGGAAATTAAAAACATTATCTTTTTAACATTTTCATTCTTTTGTAACTTACAGAAAATATTCTATCGGTGAGTAATTTTGACCAATAAAAGTGGCTTACACAGAGATAGAATAAACAATTAGATGATTTAAAAAATAATTACAACATTATTTCCTATTTTTGGTTACACATGTTAAAATTGTTTATCAATAAAAAACAAAAATATATTTTAGTATTTTTAAAAGGCGATTATGTTATGAGTTTTATTATTTTTTATTAATTTTTATTATTTTTTAGCCAGAAAGAAACTCGATTTTTTTTCTTAAATACATTAAATTGATATGTATTTTAACACGAATAAAATGTACAATTTATAAGTTGTTAATACATGTTTCATTAAATTTAATGTTGATAAACTAATAAAAAATTTAATGTTACTTTTTATGAAAAATTTGATACTTGTTTCATAAAAAAACATGTTATGTATATGTATTATAATCAATGGTTAAGTTTGTGTAATAATATTAATATATTGTTTTAATTTGCATTATGTATTTTTATAATTGAATGAAATGAATTTAGTGTTTTTGTGTTTTTTCTAATCGTTTATATACTATATATTATCAATTAAAAACAAATATTTTTTTGTCAAAAAGTCTATCGATCTTTTTCTAAGTTCATTTTTGTTTAAAATTAACTGTATTATCGAACTATTGATTTTAATTAAAATATATTAACAATTGTAATAATTGTTTTTTAACAAAGATATAT